ATATACAGATCCTCATCGACTTCACCATGTAAGAAGGCATTAGAGACATCCAACTGCTGCAAGGGCCAGTGATAAGACAGAGCTAGTGCAAAAACAATCTGAATAGTCTGCTGTTTAACTACTGGACTGAAAGTCTCAGGATAGTCGAGACCATACTCCTGAGTGTACCCTTTTACGACCAGGCGTGCTTTATACCTCAAGATGGACCCATCAGGATTACGCTTTATTTTGTATATCCACTTACACCCAATCAGAGACCGACCCTTAGGCCTCGGTACGAGTACCCAAGTTTTCTGATTAATCAAAGTAGAGTATTCTTCATCCATAGCACAACACCAGTACTCATTTTGGGACGCCTCTCGATAAGTGCTGGGCTCAGTGACAGGGGGAGAGGAAGAGGGATGAAGAGTGTAGACTTTAGGTTAAAAGATGCCACGTTTTGCACGTGTCATCATGGGGTGAGTGGATTGTGGGGGAGGGGGTGGTGTTTGGGGAGACGGGGTAGGCAGATTTGGTATGGTTTGGTTATCGGTAGGGACGGGTTGTATGGGAACAGGGGTGGGGGACGGGTTTGAGTATGGGGTAGGATGTGGGTTGGCTGGAGTCGCCGTAGGTGACGGCGTAGGGTGGGGTGTGAACCCGGGTGGGACGGTGGGTGGTGGTTGATGAGGGGTGTGCGGTGAGGAGGCCACGTGAGCAGGGACGGTTGTTAACGACTCGGGAAAGAGTGGGAGAACCCTAAAGTAGGACGACGGAGAGGGTGGTGAGGACAAGTGAGCGTAGGGAAAAATGAATTCATTGAATTGAACATGACGAGAGATATAGACACGCTTTGTGGATGGATCATAACATCGGTATCCTTTGGATAGGTGCTCATACCCAAGGAAGACACATCGTTTGGAACGAGGTTGTAACTTGTGATCAATCTCATGACGGAGATGGGGATACACAAGACAACCAAAGACGCGAAGGTGAGAGTAGTCAGGCGGGGTATTATATAGAGCTTCAAATGGGGATAGGTTATCGCAAGAGCGCTTTGGCATACGATTAATGAGATAATTTGCCGTTGCCAAAGCTTCAACCCAAAACGTAACCGGTAGTGATGACGTGTAGAGGAGAGTAAGAACAGTCTCAATGAGATGTCTGTGCTTGCGCTCAGCGACCGCATTCTGTTCAGGAGTATAAGGACAAGATTTATGATGAAGGACCCCTAAGTCTTGTAAAAACCGCCCAAATTTGTGGTTAACATACTCACGACCATTGTCAGTACGAAAAATTTTAATGGTTTTGCCAAATTGATTTTGAACCATAGATTGAAAACTTTGAAAAGCACCAAAGGCCTCAGATTTGTGTTTAAGAGGATAGAGCCAACAAAATTTTGTATAATCATCCACAAAGTTAATATAGAAATGATACCCCCCAAAAGAAGGAACAGTAGTAAGTCCCCAAACATCAGAATGTATTAATTGAAAAGGTTCAGTGGTTACACTAGAAGATAAAGGAAACGGTAATTTATGCGACTTAGACATAGAACAAGACTCACATAGAAACATGTCTGACTCAAAATTAACACCTAATTTTGAAAACAACAACTTTGTGATTTGAGACGACGGATGACCAAGCCGACAGTGCCATTGATGACAAGTAGCGCGCACGACATTGGCCACCACAGGAGACGCCGCAGAGATTGGAGAAACAGGAGACTTGACTGGAAGAGAGTATAGACCTTGCTCACATGGGCCTCTGTACATCACCTGATTGGTAAGGTTGTCCAGGATCGAAAAGTCCTTAGGAGTAAAAAGAATAGAACAATTATTGTCAGAGGTAAATTTATGGACAGATAAGAGATGGGTATTCAAGGTAGGGACATAGAGTAGATTGGAGATGGTAAAGGTACCTGTTGGTGTGGTAACCTGTGCTGAGCCAACATTACAAATCGGTAAGGATTGTCCCGCAGCCGTAGAGACTGAGCTGGAGCCATAGTATGGATGAGAATTCTGTAACCTTGAGAAATCAGAGGTAACATGGGCAGTTGCACCAGAGTCTAAGTGCCATTTTGGATTGGATTCGGTAGAATATGCAGTATATAAAGCCTGAGGATTATGAGATTGTGTGGAGGAACCCGAGAAATCTTCATTGATACGGTTCCAACATCGCAGTGCACTGTGATTAGATTTACCACAAATTTGACAGACTATGGTGTCACCACGAGATGGTCCTCGCCCGCGGCCACCATACCGCCCGCCAATACCACCAGACCTGCCGCCTTCGCTGGTGCGGTCACCACTGCCGGAGAACCTGCCAAACCCCCTGCCGCCTCCAAACCGACCGCGGCCACGGCCACGCTGATGGGAAGAGTTGTCATGGGAGGCGTAGAGAGCAGTATGTAAATCCGTGGAAGAGTTTGTGGTCGAACCAAGACTAAGTTTTTGTTCAAGCTGGATATTGAGTTCCTCAGATAATAGCCAAGAAGAAACGGTGTTGAATGTGAGATCGGCAAGATTAGTATGTACGTTCTGTTTCAGAGGTCCATATTCAGATGGTAGACCCCGCATAACACTAAGAATGATATCTTGTTCAGGGATTGGTTCACGGGCAAGAGCGAGTGACGTAACAATTTTTAAGACTTCATCAAGATAACTTTGCATACTAGACTGTCCCTTACGAATATTGTGAAGCTGTTCCTTTAGTTGAAAAATATGCGTACGAGAAAGTGAGTTATACCATTGATGAAGATGATTCCAGATTTCTGTGGCGGTGGTACACATATGAACATAGTTCTGAATAGTTGGAGAAATAAGAGCGAGGAGAGAGGCTCGGAGTTGTGCGTCAATGATGACCCACTGGTCATAAGCCGGGTTGTCCTTTAGTATCGGATCTTTGCCCGCAGTGGTAGTGGCCTTCTCGTCGAGCACGGTGGGCGGCGGTGCAGGATCTGTTCCATCAACGTACCCAAAAAGTCGATGGGCAGTGAGAGTTGCTTTCACCGTCGAGGACCATGACGGATAGTTATTATCGTCGAGTTTTGTGGGAACCAAAGAGTGCAGGTTACGAAGAAACAACCGCAACCCGCCAGGAAGAGTGTCAAATACATCACGACTATCAGTTGACATGATCTACGAAAGACGTCCGTAGGAGAAGAAAGAGCAGGGTTCGGGCTCAGAGAGGAGGGCCTGTGGCTGTGACGGAACGTAGAGAAGAAGCTGCTGGATCACACGGCGGCGTGCGTCCGCAAAGAGGAGCTGATCGGAATTTTTTTTTTTAGGGTTTAGAACCGTGCTCTGATACCATAATGACTTTGGAATTATTGTATCTTTCCATTGCATGAATATGAAACAATACAAGGATATAAATACTTAAGACTCCAAGGATAACAAGGAGTCACAAACGGTAGTCTCCTAATTATGCAATTACTAGGACTATTAATATATATGTTTAACATTTGTTATTCTCGAATTCCGCATTACATTGACATATATATCATTTGATATGGTTTGTACATATATAATTTAACTTTGAAATTTACACTAATTTTTAACTAAATGGATGCCTAAAATTTTGACTTAAACCATCTTAAACCGAAATGGATCACGTAAAAAGAAGATATGAAGGTGTATTATTAGTTTTTTTGTTACTCATTTTTTGAGTTTTCTCATATAGTAATATTTATGTCCATCATTTTCTAAATTTTTTAGTATTATTTATGCATATATACTCCTTTTTTAAGTTTACAATAGTTTTCAAATAAAATAATTTTAAAAAAATTAGTAGAACATTTTTAATTTAAAATGAAAGTGCTACGCTTTTTGTATCATTTACCCCTGAAATTTAAAACTTGCGCCAATGTCCTTGAACTTTAAAAATTGCACCAATACCCCTAAATTTTTAAAAATGTTACACCAATTGTCTATCTGTGCCAAATTTATGTGTGTTAATCACATGAATCAATATACATGTTGGAGTCTGATGATCGAGATGGCATAGATTGAAAAAGAAGTTAATCGATTGATGACGAACTGTATCGACTAGTGTCTAGCCTTCATATTATGTTACTGACGACTAAAATGAGAATAATTATCGGAGGCTTAAAAAGGTTAGAAATATAGAAGATAATGGTTAGAAAGAGCATATTGCTGAACTCACGTGTGAGATATGACTTTAGATGTATCCATACTTGGACTGGATGAGTGTGTGATTAGAGCATTGGCAGGGGCGAGTAAAAAAATTGCATCGCCCTACCACGAGAGGAGAGCCGCTTCTGGCAGCAGCGTGGGAAGAGAGAGGAGGAGTCTGCCATGCGTGTCTGCTTTGCGAGGCACCCTGCTTTGCGAGGCATCCGCGAGGCAAATCTAAAGCCCTCCGCCACTGTTAGATCTGCAACCCCAGATCTGCCCCTTCGCCATTCGCGATCTCCAATTTTGCCGTGCCACGCCTGACTTGCCATTGCAAAACCATGGAATGCCACACTCTTTGCACGCTTGATTTGATTGGTTGGAAGGTAACACGTCATCCCATGGCATTCCATTACAATACTCGCCATTGTCAATGCTCTTATCACACTCTCAAATCTGGTGCAGATGGACCATTGGTGTAATATTTTTAAAAGTTCAGGGAATATTTGATTAGGTGCAATTTTTAAAGTTCAAGTGGAATCCGTGCAATTTTTTAAAAATTCAGGGATAAGTAGCGCAAAAAACACAAAAATGAAACAAATAAAAGTGAATTGTTTTAAATTTGATCAAGGAAATACAAAGTAAAAAATAATGAAAAAATTTAAAAAAAAATTGAGTAAATAATTAGTGATTATATTATTAGTCATTAATATTAGATATAATTAAATCGACATATCAAAAAAATACTCGAAGGGCATCCCTCTCAAATAGAAAATAGAAGAAATATTTGCACTAAATAGCATTAAAACTTAAGTCATTTCCCTAAATAGCACTTAAATTATTTTAACAAAGTTATAATAGTTTTTTTTTTAATTTGTAAAAATTTAGATGGTGGTTCTAAGGGTCTCCATGCACTGCTATGGTTGCGCCAAGAAAGTGGAGAAACATATATCCAAGATGGAGGGTATGTTAAACTCATATTTTATTGCAGAGCAATGCTACGTTCACAAACAGAATGGTCACAAACTTACCATTTATGGTTTAAATTTTCATTTTAAAATCATTCTAGACTATTTTAAAAAAATTATTAAAGTCCACAAATAGTAAGTTTGTGAAGTTTGTGATCATTTTTTTGTAAATCTAGCATTCATGTTTAATTTCCCACAAAAAAATTGTTCTCTCTTTTTCTACGTCTAAAAAAACTCTCTTTTAATTAAAACCACTTATTATTTTATCCTATTAATTATGGAGTATTAATCTACTTATCAAATTATAAAAAATTTATTAATTAAAATAATATATCTAAATAGAATTAAAACATTGAACTTTTATAAAAAAAAGGAAATTCTTTATTTTTATTGCCTAAATAAGAGGATTGTATTGTACAATGCCATTCTTTATTTTGGCATTGTTTCACGATGTTTAACTTCACATTTAATATTAACACTTTGATATTATAAATTTTATTTTGGAAAACAAAATTATATTAAAAGTTTTATTTTGATATATGAAACATGTTTTAATAATATGTAGATATTTCTCTTGCCTATTTATTACTCCTTCTGTCCGCAATTGCATGAATTCTTCATTTTGATTTACGAGGCTGGATCAATTTTATTTTCAATTTAATTTATTTGGTTGTAGCAGTAAAATTCAAAAATAAATTTATATATTTAAAAGCTACATAAGAAATTTCAAACGAGGATGTGGCATGACTATTTTATATTGTGAAATAAGTAGTGAAAATAAACAAACAGAGTGAATGTAGAAATTTGGCATACATGGTTCTGTTTTTTCATTAATCATTTGGTATATATAAAAGTGCACGAGTGGGCTTAATATCAAGCCCAAAATAAATACTAAATCTATTTACATGAAATACATGTTAACATTATTCCTTCTGAAGTTTTAGTGCATGAGGTCATGAATGCCCAATTTACAAAATAAAAAATCAAAAATAGGTTTCGACAAAGCTTTTGTAAAAATATCTGCGAGCTAGATGAATATTAAAATTACCTCTCTTATATAAAGAAAGGTGAAACACTACCCATTGGCTTAAGCTTTTGGTTAGAAAGTGGATTCTAAATTTATATAGAACGATGGTCAAATCTCACCTGACACTCCATCTCAGTTCACTCAGCCCTCCAAAGTTCCAACATGGTATTAGAGCCAATGTTCGATTTAGATTTAATTCTTTTTGGTATTCAACAGCCTAGGTATAAAGAGAATGAGATGCTAGACCTATTCATTCAACCAAATAATAACTAGATCAGGCTAGTTACCACTTGAGGAGAGGTGTTGAAAAGTAAAGCATTACTCATTGGCTTAAACTTTTGGTTAGAAAGTGGATACATACATAATATAGAAAAGTGGTCAAATTTCACCCGACACTCCATCTAGTTCACTTATCCCATTGAAGTTTCAATATAACCACTTGCATATATAGTCACGATCTACTATCAACCAAAAAGTTTAAACTAATAAATAAAGTTTCACTATTCAAAATATGCTAATGGTAGTATTTCATTACTTTTTTCAATGTGAGAACTTCAAAAATGTGTCATGGAAGGGATGGAGTATTTCATTTTCAAATGATATTTTGCTGTAAATTTATTTTAGAGTAAATTCTATAATTGGTCCTTTAAAACATGGAATTTTCCATATTTAGTTCTCTATAATCAAATATTACATCCATGATCTTTCTATTATGAGTACCTTTTCACGAATAGTCCTTTTTCGATCTACTGTCATGTTGATGTTAATTTAAGGGCTAAAAATGTAATTTGACATCCACCATGTGTTCAATAACGTGTTCTGATGTCGATTAGACGGACAACACATAAATAATGACTACGACTGTGAACTAGGATTCTTACGAAACATCACATTTGTAGACTATGTTGGAGCAGAAAGCGACTATGATTTACAAACGACGCATCAGGAGCGCGATCTCTTGCATTGTTTATTTCAAGAAAGATGTATGATCATTGTAAAATTACAACTTTAACCCTCAAATTAACATCAATATGATAGAAGATCAATAAAGACTATTTGTGGAAAGATTCACATAAAATGACCACGGGCGTAATATTTGAAAATTGAAGATTAAATAACAAAAAGCTCCTATTAAAAATGACCAATTATTGAATTATTCTTTATTTTAATTTCTTATCTTATTGTTATGTATAGGTGTGACCTCCTACCAAGTGAACTTGGAAACGAAGACGGTGGTAGTAATCGGAGACATTATTGCTTTTGAAATATTGGAGAGTGTTTCCAAACTAAAATATGCTGAACTTTTGAGCAACGCTACCCACTCAGATTAATTGTTCGATCTCCAATGCTCGGCTACTTTATACTTGTGAGACTTTGTTGTCTTCAAACATTTTTTCTACCTATTACTTATTTTTAAAGATTCTAATTACAGTCGTAACAACTTTAAATTACCTTACAATAAAATCAGACAAGATCATCTCAAATCAGTCCTAATAAATTTAGATCCAATTCAATAATTTCAAAAAAGTGAACACTAACATACGTGCAGGAGACATCACAATAGTGCGTTGTACATTACACGTTTGAAACACTTCTTCTTTCACTATTACTACCAATTCCACCACGACAATTGTAACACGCTAATCCGTTCAGGTCTGCAGCCTCTTTCGCACTAAAGTATAAACTTGGTATTCGTAAACATTCAAAATATTCAAACATTTTAAAACTTTATTTCATAATAAATTATTCAGAATAATAACGAGTATTTCAAGTTGCGGAAGCTTAATAAATCACAATTACAAACGTAATTATTTTATGTCATTTAGAACAGTAATTCAAATTCACACATCCATTCCGACCATCTCGCCCCATCTCCCTCCAGGAATTCATCACTTCATTCTTTTTTTAACTACATGTAGCAAATAAAACATACTACACGCTCAGTGTTGAAGTTTAGTAAAGATATCTAATGCATCGAACATCCATATAAATTGAATCTCAATTCATAATCAAATCATTTCATAATCAAATCATTTGATATCATGCACATAATATCCAATTCAAGCATTCATCGTTCATGATATTCACAATATTTTAATTCGAGTCATTTCATGTCATATACAATATTCCATATTAAGTATTTCAACAATGCTCTTAAATTATTCTTAATCTAAGGCCAAATCATTTTGATAACAAAATTCTTACACGATTCTTAGTTTAAGGCAATATTTCTAACCGGGCTCTTAAACTATAAATAGTTTAAGGCAGAACACAAGAATTGATGATCCATCCTATGAGTCTTATGGATCACGTACCAATCGAACACGGAACTGTCGGGTGAGTGATATCCCTAAACGAGTTATCTTTGAGTTTGGTTTGGATCCCGTACCTACGTTTTAACTCCAAATTTCAAAATTGGTCACATAGGTATATCTTAGATTTCTTCTAGATATCATTAATAATCAACATCAATTATCTATATGGGTATATCCTATAGTTCTTATAGATACCGTTAACAATACACATGATTTTCATAATAATCAATATATTCATTTTTAATCAAATATTCACAATTTTCATTTTAATTAGAATATTCATCAAAGTTTAATCATCATAATCATCAGTCAATAATAATCATCATAATGTCCAATCATTCTATTCTTAAAAGCAGGGGAAACTGGCTCCATGGAATTCCCGCCCAAATGCACACGGTTAAAAAGGTAAGACTTTTATGGTATTTAATTAAAAAGGTAAAAAAATTAAGAATTAAATAAAACCGTGTGTTTAATGCGTAGGAATAAAAAAAGGTTAGTTTTCTTTTTTAGAACGTCAATAGCGTAGACCAACGTAATAATTTTTTAAATTACGAATTAAATATAAAGAAAAATTTATTGATTACACTATACCTACATAGTACAATTTTTACAAAAATTACATTAATAAAAAAAGGAATTATGGCTTTTAGTGTTTAATGTGTATGAATAAATATGGTTAGTTTCTTTATTTCGATGAACTGCGTAGACACATGTTCCAATAATTTAAATTTAAATTATTATTTAAAAATATTCTCACATCTTAAAGTATCCAAATCAAAATTACAGTTGTATTTCTATTTATACTTTTTAGGTATTTTAAATAAAGTGTTTTTCTTATATATGGTTTGGTAAGAAAGAATCATAAATACACGTTGATAACTAAAAAATTTAAGTTAAAAAAGGAATGTTGAAATGGTAAGTAACACCAACTGTGTAATTTGGCCGAAAATATTACATTGTAATTTTAAAAATAAAAATTTTGAAAAAGGAAAATAGAATAAGCCAAAAACTTTTCATAACATAAATGCGATCATTTGCAAGGACTTTCGTAATTAGTTTCTTTCAAGTGCACTTTTAAATCCGTGCCGTTGAAAAATAATTTTAATTAAGTAACGTAAATATGACTCGTGCAATGCGCGGGTGTGATACTAGTAACAGTTAGAGGCCTAACGTCGAGTGTTAACACCCTAGCTTACTGCCATGCATCAACAAGATTCTTGGATTTATCAAAACATCATATTTATTTACTTCCAGAAATCATTTCCATATTGGTTATAATTGGTTGATATCAAAAATAGTATTTAATATTTTAAAAAAATCAAGTTTTTGAAAACATCTCGGGTCAAACGGTACCCTTCACGGTACCTCGATACCGATGCATGGTACCTCGGTACTGCCCAGTTGGTACGGGTACCGTTTGGCATTGGATACTGCCAGAGGACGATATTTTCCGCGATGAAGACGGTAGCTAGCCTACCGTTCCGACGGTACGGCCTACTGTGCCGCCGATACAAAGGTACCGTCCGGACGGTAGCTGGCTACCGTTCTACGCGTAGTTTCGAACAATGTCATCTTCAACCTCGGGCCAATTTTTGGAAATGTCATTTTTAGTCACCTAACTTCAATTATACTATATAAAAATATTCTCCAAGGTTCATAGATCATTTTGATAACATTAGTTCGTAGTTTTAACAATAATTTCAAGGTTTAGGATTCTTAATTCTTCAAACATGTCAAATGCAAAACTCGGCCAAATGACCGTTTATAAATGTAGAAACGATCTATACAAGAATCTTGTTGATGCATGGCAGTAAGCTAGGGTGTTAACACTCGACGTTAGGCCTCTAACTGTTACTAGTATCACACCCGCGCATTGAACGAGTCATATTTACGTTACTAAATTAAAATTATTTTTCAACGGCACGGATTTAAAAGTGCACTTGAAAGAAACTAATTACGAAAATCCTTGCATATGATCGCATTTATACTATGAAAAGTTTTTGGCTTATTCTATTTTCCTTTTTCAAAATTTTTATTTTTAAAATTACAATGTAATATTTTCGGCCAAATTACACGGTTGGTGTTACTTTCCATTTCAACATTCCTTTTTTAACTTAAATTTTTTAGTTATCAACGTGTATTTATGATTCTTTCTTATAAGAAAAACACTTTATCAAAAATACCTAAAAAGTATAAATAGAAATACAACTGTAATTTTGATTTGGATACTTTAAGATGTGAGAATATTTTTAAATAATAATTTAAATTTAAATTATTGGAACATGTGTCTACGCAGTTCACCGAAATAAAGAAACTAACCATTTTTATTCATACACATTAAACACTAAAAGCCATAATTCCTTTTTTTATTAATGTAATTTTTGTAAAAATTGTATTATGTAGGTATAGTATAATCGATAAATTTTTCTTTATATTTAATTCGTAATTTAAAAAATTATTACGTTGGTCTACGCTATTGACGTTCTAAAAAAGAAAACTAACCTTTTTTTATTCATAGGCATTAAACACACGGTTTTATTTAATTCCTAATTTTTTTTACCTTTTTTTAATTAAATACCATAAAAGTCTTACCTTTTTAACCGTGTGCATTTGGGCGGGAATTCCATGGAGCCAGTTTCTCCTGCTTTTAAGAATAGAATGATGACTAGGGTCCGCTTTGATACCTTCTTTCGAAATCATATGACCTAGATATGTGATTCGTTGAGCCAGAATTCACATTTTGACAACTTTGCATAAAGTCTGTGTTCTCGTAGTACATGGAGTACTACCTCTAGACGTTTTGCATGATCTTCTCGATTCTTCGAGTATACTAGAATATGATGGATGAACACAACTACGAATTGATCCAGATAGGGTAAGAATACACTATTCATGAGATCCATGAATAGTGTAGGAGCATTGGTCAAACCAAAGGACATTAACGTGAACTCATAATGACCATAACGAGTACGGAACGCAGTCTTTGGGATGCCCTCTTTCTTAACAGGGATTTGATGGTATCTTGACTGTAAGTCGATCTTAAAGAACACAGTGGATCCTTTAAGTTGATCAAATAAGTCATCGGTACGAGGTAAAGGATAACAATTTTTATTGTGACTTTGTTTAATTGACGATAATCGATGCAGAATCTGTTAGACGCCTCGCACACCTCTAGAGGGGGGTGAATAGAGGTGTTGCCCAAAAGACTAGTTTTTTGTGCGGAAACGTTCTTTACAAAATTCAATAAAAACAATGCACCAAAAACAAAATAAAGTGAAGGATAAGAGCAATGCACACACGATATATACTGGTTCGGCCTAAATGCCTACATCCAGTCCCCGAAGCAATCGTGCCCAGGCCTTCACTAACCCGTCAAACTTAACGGAGTTTGACAATCCGAATACAACTCGAGAACTTGATTTCACAAGCCTCTTATCTTACCACCAAAGTTTTGATTTCACAAAACTCAGGATTTCTTCCACCTAACGTTTGATTTCACAAACCGTTAGGATTTCTACCACTTGGTGTAATCCCAACACCAAGAATACAAATCCCTTACAATAAAGTAAGAAAACAAACCGCAACC